TTTTTTTGTATAATTTTATATGTTATTTAAATGATTGATTTTTTTATTCATTTGTAACATATGATATTGAATGCATTTATGGCCAAAGCCCCTATTTGCACCCTCCACTTAACTCTTTTTCGTGGTCAACACCTTCCAAAATTTTTTCTATCTATTCACAACCTCAACTATTCAAAACCTATGAAAAACCCAATATTTTAACGGACCATCATGGCACCGTTAAAAAATGCACTATGTGGCACCCAGAAATTGACGTGGCACTGTGTGGTGTTAGTAATCCAATGTGGATCCCTTTTTTGATGATTTGGCTTATTTTTTACACACGAGAACGCCACGTGTACAGTAGGCCCCACTTCGTGCGAGACTTTTTAAATAGATCTGCATAACTGTTTTGGGGATTTAGGGTTTGTTTTCATCCCCTTCTTAATCTTCATCAAGCTTTCCACGATCTTCCTCTTTCATTGTCTTCTCTTGAACCCAACCACAATTTATGCTAAGAAAGAAATGTCAAGGACATACTCACGAGGTTCTGCTTCACGTGGTGCATCGATTTCATCTGGCCGTCCTCCTTTCATCTTATATGATGGCATTCTTGAGTACAACTACGCACCACCCATCCGCCATTGTGACTGTGGTAAGTTTGCTCCACGATGGGCTGTATGGAGGGACTCAAATCCAGGTCATCGCTTTTATGGATGTCTAGATTTTAGGGTGGGTTTCACTTTCAAAAATTTATTATTATTATTATTATTATTATTATTATTATTTTGGCTTTCAATTTCTAACAATGATTTTGTATGCTCAATTTGGTTGCAAGAAGAGGATGTGTCGAATAAGTGTGATTACTTTGTATGGCATGATACAGACTTCACCCAAAGGGCCAAAGATGTTATTTGATACCTTTATAATGAAAGGAAGAAACTATTAAAGGAAAATTTTGAGCTAAGGAAGCAATTGAAGTGTAGTCATGAGGAAGATGTTGAGCAAACAAGGCAAAGGCAAAGTGTTAGTGTTAATGAGGGGATAAAAGAAACTGCAACTAATCAGCCAGCGGAAGAAGTTGGTTGTGAGCAGCTATCTAAAATTGATAGGGTGGAAAAGAGGATGCATGAAATAGAGAATTTGTGGGAAAAGAAAACGAAGACTGCATTTTGTAAACTTGGATGTGTTATTGTTGCACTTTGCTTTCTGAATTTGGCATTTCTAAACTTTTTGTTTTGGTAGAATGTTAGAAATTTAAGTGTGGTTATGTGTGTTTTTGGGCATTTCATGTAAGTTTGGCAATGACCAGAAGTTATACCTAATTTGGTAAAAAAATTATCTAAATGAAATGAAATGCCTTGTTATATTGTGTACATCACTACAAACCTATTATGTTGTGTACATCACTATGACTTGTTTGCAAGTAAGGTATACATATATAAAGCCTTTGTAGTAATAATTTCCACTTTTTGTCATTTTTTCCATTTTTTGCCGATCATTGAAAGCAAAATAAAAAACCAAATCTCTTATTCGGCCATACATTAAGTGTTGTTTTTGCAATTTATTGTTACAAAATATACAGAATGTAGAATCCATATGACCATATACATTGTTGTTTTTGGTCATTCACTGATATAAGCAATATAGATAAGGACATGGCATTGGTTTAACCTATTTGATCACAATTTGAATAAACCAAAGCCCTAAATCACCACTATTCAAAAAAGATAAAAACTGACAAAAGCATTTCCATTTAAAAAGCAATTTTCAAGCCTTCTCATTGCCTTCTTGTGGTAGGTCTTGTAGGCACACTACTGGCAGCAGCATCAACACCCTACATCATTCAACATGCGTGGTTATTTACTTTATTAACAATCTAACTATAAAACTTATAAAAAAAAAAAAAGAAGGAATATGGTTTCAAACATACAATAAAGCTCCCTATGGCTGTAGGGAGCCTCGCCTTCTTTTTCTTGGTACATGAGGTTGAGGTGCCTTCACCTCCCTATTTCTTTCTCTTATTTTCACCTTGGAACCAATAAAGCATGTTCATTCAAGCATCTACTAAATTCATAGGGGAGAAATACAATTTTAAGGGGAAAAATATCCTCAACCACCAATTAAATTATCAAAAAAAAAGTGTGTATTTTTTTTTACCAAAAGTAATCATATTTACAGTGATTTTCACTCCTGCACTCTCATTTTTGCCTTTTGAATTGTTAGATGGGCATGTTCTCCAATTGTGCCCTTCACTGCCACACACCTTGCATGTCATTTTTCTCCTTCTTCCAGTAAGCTTCCTAAGCTTCCTTTTCCTGATCTTTTGTGGTTCACGTTTATGTCTTCTTCCCTTTTTCATCAGCCTCCCTAGCATGCTCTTAACAGGTGGTGGTAACAACTCTTCTTCACCCATAGTCTTCCATGCTTTTGTCCCTTTCCTTATGCGTTGAAGAGGGTATGCATAGGCAACCAAATATTTTTCTTTCTTATAAAAATCTAAAATGTAATCGTCTATGCTCCACCTTTTGTACATTATGCAAGCCAAAGCATGAGGGCAAGGAACCCCTGAGAGTTGCCAGTATCTGCATGTGCAAGTTTTATCATTAAATTTGACAACATGTTGATCCCCACCATCATTGACCTCAAGCTCATTAACCCCATTTGGTTGCACACTACATCCCTGTGACTTTGCCTTTGGTTCCTCAACCTTTTTTTTGATTCTAGGAGCAATGTCATCACTTTTAGGCCACTTTTCTACAAACAGCCTTTTATCAGCTATCAGTTATCCTAAGCATCAATTGATCCCTAATTTGATCATTCATTGCAATTATTGCCTTACACCTTGCCCTTAGTATCCAAGAGTTGAAAGTTTCACAAATATTGTTGTCAATTAAATCACATTTACAATTATCTTGAATAAATGCTTTGCACTAATGCTCTCTAGGGTACCTTAACAAGTCATCATGTCCTTGCCTATTCTTTGCAAACATATCACCTAACCTATCAATGAAATCATCCCCAAATGTTGTATTTGCACAATTCTAGAAGCAGATCTTCACTCATCACCTCTATGACCCAACTTTGCCCAATTGAAATAAATATGTCTTGCACAATGCCTATGCTCAACCTCGAGTAATATTAACTCTACAGTGGATATTATAGCCTATACCAATAATTAAAACCAACAACAACACAACAATGAGTACTTTTACAACAATTAATATAAAGTATTAATAATTAAAAATATCAGCATATAAATAAATAAATAAAAGCTATTGATGTGTTCACTTGATGTTTATCTGACATAACTGTTATGCTTGCACCACTGCCAAGATCTAAATCAGTTTTCAATAGTTCAAAGAACCATTGCCATGACTCAAGACATTCAAACTCCATTACTGCCCAAGCAATTGGAAACATTTGGTTGTTCCCATCCTTCCCAACTGCAAATAGCATAATTCCCTTACATATTCCCTTCAAGAAACAGCCATCAACACCAAAGAACCTTCTGCACCCATCCTTCTAACCTTGTTTTAGGGAATGCGAACAAACATGCATTCTTTGGAAAGTTCTAGTTTCACTAGAACTTGTTTCAGTGGCAGTGACAACCATAGTATTCTCTGGATGGCTTTCCCTAAATATGTTAGCATAGCTCTTCAAGTATTTGTATTCATCAACATAGCTACCCTTCAGTTGTGTCATAACATACTTCTTGCCTTTTCTACCTTGTCAAGTGTGATGTTCACTTTAATTTCAGCCTTGCACCACTTAACAACCTCAGATGGCTTTGTAAATGGTGCTTCATAAATCCTTCCTTTAAAAATATCTACTATAACCTCATAAGTTACAAGCTCATTGTCATAAGATTTGAAGTATCTATGCTCCCTATAGTATGTCTTCACCACAAAACACTCATATTTTGGGTCATAAGAGGCAAACAACTCCCATTTGCACCCTGTTTGGCATTTGAACCTCACCCAAGTACGTTCATTCCTGACCTTTTGTAGTTGAGCTTGCTTTTGTATGGAGTATTTACAAATTGCCATTCTAAATTGCTTTGCATCTTTCAACCTCATCCCAATATCAAAATATGGGACCTTCCATTTTGGGTTATAGTAGACATTTCTGCTAACAACATGATCCGGTTGCACAAAGATGTCATCCTCATCATCTGAATTCCAATATAATTCCCAAGCACCAAGATCATCACTGTCTGCATAATCAGACTCCCTGTCTTCTTCATTTGTAGAGGAGCCACTGTCATCACTAATAGGTAGTTGTTGCATGCCATCAACTGGATCACCTCTTCCCACCCTATTTCCACCACCTTGTCTCACTTTATGCTGAGCAACAAATTTCTTTTTTCTACCTTTACTGCATGTTTTCCTTCTAGTTTCTTCTATACCAGCTGTAACATCCCCTTTTTGATAAACCTCCTAGTTTACCAAGTAGGGAAATGTACTCTTCAAGATAAAAAAAAAAAAATAGCAAGAATTATCTATAGAAAAAGATTACAACGGAAATAAAAACTCTTCTAATATAAAATGTTTCCCTTTAAGGAAAATATACTTTCAAAACAATTTAAAGTTTTATAGAATGAAAATCATTCATCTGTAAGGGAAAACTATTTAAATGAAAAATATCTTAAGAAAAATATCGAATACTCAAAGTTATAAAATAAGTCAGGCTATACTCATTTAAATTAATCTTAATGTCATATACATCAAAGTAACTTATACAAAAAAAAAAATACATGAAAACAATTGCTTTTCAAAATACTTTCTAAAATAATAAAAGAAAAATTATCATTTTGGTAATACATTAATCCGCCTTCACATTTAAAACACTGAGGTCAACATACAAGATTTATACCAAGAGCTCTCAAGCTGAGTGGCCACTACTCTAGTCTACTAATCTGAAATGGGGGAGAATTTTATGAGCTAAAAGTCCAGTAAGTATTAAGCTTAAAATATAAACTTGGATGCTAAGACCTTTAAATCTACACACATGGAAAGCATAATAGATAATCAAATTAAGCCACATAATATTATAAATTATAGTATCTAATTAACAATTTAATATCACAATTTAACTCACAGATAATCAAACATGTCAAGGAATAACCAATGACATTTTAAATCAATCCATATCATAAAATCTTATGCTTACAAATGTGATGTCACAAGCATAATGCATAAAAACTAAAAATCACACAATGCTATGGAATTCATTGATGTGTGCTAGCAACATTGTACTGGAGCTAATCACAGTATTAATCCTATTGTGCAGAGGTCCACTAAATACCCCGAAGGGTCCATTGAATACCCCAAGCTTTAAGTTTAGGTCACTTACTCCATAGCCACAAACACATACACATGTCAAACAAGTTTAGAATATGTCCAAAATAATATTAGAATATTATTCCATTTAATGTTCTTATTAATTAGTGATGTGGACAATTCAAGTTCATATTAATATCCACATACACAGCTCACATATTCTATAGAACTTCATATTGAAAGAAATTAAAATACACTACATGAATAGTAATTAGTGCGTGAACAGTAATTCATAAATAGTACCATAAACAATATTCATGAACAGTACACACATGAACAGTTATTAAAAGTAGCAATCTACTCCAAGCTCACGCATAGTTTCAAGGACCAATTGATTATATAAATTCTAACTTAATCACACAAGGCATACAAGCAATAAAAGTAACACCAGTCAATAAATCCACACCAAATCAAGCATGGAAAAAGGAAAATGACTTATCATCCATCTCGTACAAACCCAAAAAATCAAGGTTAAATCCCCATTTTGATCCTTGAATTATTGTATGGACCCTTGATTTGGTCTTTGAACTAAAGAAATCCCTGATTTGGTCCCTAAACTACTGTATGGACCCCCGATTTGGTTCCCACTATTTATAATTTGGCCTAAGTTGGTTCTTGAACTATTGTATGGACCCCCAATTTGGTTCTTACTGTTTACAATTTCGCCCCAATTTGGTCCCTGAGCTATTGTTTAATAGAATGACCAAGTTGGGGCTAAATTGGTAAACAGTAGGGACCAAATTGGGGATTCGTATAATAGTTTAGGGACTAACTCGGGGGTTCGTACAATAGTTTTGGGACCAACTCAGGGGTCCGTACAATAGTTCAAAAACCAAATTAGGGATTTCTTTAGTTTAGGGACCAAATCGGGGGTCCGTACAATAGTTTAGGGACCAAAATAGGGGTTTAACCAAAAATCAAAGATATTTCTAATGAAATTTTAATGCCAAAAAATCTTATAAACCAAAGGATTTGGGTCAAATCTCACCAATTTAAACTACCCAAAACTCTAACCCAAATTCATAACCAAAACTTATACTTACCTAGAAATCAAAGTACCAAACTCAAACAACTAGCATAAATTGAAACAGATTTCACTGGAGGGTGCATCCCACACATCCCACTTGATAGCCAAAGGAGAAAAAGTGCAGAGGAACGGCTAGAAAAATGGGGATGGGTGCAGGGAGGATGGGTTCGGGTGTTCAAAGCAAAAAAAATGGGATTTTTCTCTTCCTAAAAGCTTCCAGAGGAAGACTCACGGGATTCTAAAGTGTTCTAAGCCCAAACTTGGTAAATATTGTGCCACATGTCTCCAAATTTGGTTTAAATAGTTGGATGGTCTCTAACTATCTCAAGATTTCACATAAAGTCCACATATTCTAAATCTAATCAATTTAATCCTTAAGATATTAAAACAAAGGACTCAAATTTCTAATTTATTCACTAAAGTATATGAGGTGTTACATACTCCCCACCTTAAAAGGATTTGGTCCTCCAAATCTCAATCTGCTTCAAAAATAGAACCTTGATCCTTCAAGTTTCTATTACCTATTGGCAACCAACTTTCCTATCACTTCCTCAATAAAGCACTCAACCCCAAATTTCTTCATTGTTCTTATTAACTTCACCTCAACTATACAGATATACAGAATAATATTTGATAAAGCTTTAGGCTCAAACCTATTATCCTCTAATTAAAATCTCATGGCTAACCTCTTCCTCTCTCACATATCATTGTTCTATAATTTTAGAATAATCTATGAGAAGCATAAACAAATTCTAATCCACATAACTTATGCTTCTCCTTGTTAACTCTTTTCGAGATAGCAGACTCGTGTAATCTATCTTACCATCCAAAATACATACAACCAACTCAGTTTCCTTCTATATATATATATGTATGGTGGAATAAACAAATTGGTTGTTCTAATTTCTATGGTAACAACAGAAACAAGGTAAAATCTCAGTTGAGAAAGTTCAATCCTCCCTACAATCGGTGTGCCCACAGCTAATGCAATTAAAGATCATGATGTGATGATTTCAAACTTTTTACAATTTCATGCCTGCGTTTTAAAAACAGCTTAGTGAGAACTTTAACCATCAAAGGTTTTGGAACTAGTGTGTGTCAACAAACTTAGAAAGCAATATAGTTTCAATTAGAAACCTCATTTATTGAATATGTCACACATCAAGCCACAGCAACCATTTTGGATAAAATATTCAAGTTCAAAAGAAATTTGAGGAAAAATTTAGGCATGCCAATTCTTAGACTTCTACAATCTTTGGAGAACAAGTATGAAAATCCAGAATCAGTGATAAAATCCACAATCCTTTGAAATTTTGAAGTCATAAGAGAATAGCTTTCAAAACGGCAATTATAAATGAATTTTCTCATCAAAGATATAATCCAAAGTCATTTAATCAAAATCAAATGCATAATAGGCTTAATGCAACATTGATAACAAATATCAGAATTTATAATTCCAAGATAAATAAGTAACCTACCTTCACTCCTATTGAAATCCTTGCAAGGACTGCTTTGTGCTTCCTGTCTCAATATGCAAATATCCCTTAATAGTGGTGCTCAAACTTGAAATGAATTCTTGCTTTACTTTCATTCTAATATCTACAGAAGCCTAGGCCAAAGTAATAACTTTTCTACCACTTATCCTATTCTCTCATAGGCATAAGGAACACATTTATTTAAGCTAATATTTGCTCATGGTAAATAATTCTGAGCCTTATAATTTTATTAAAGAGATAACACGCACACACCTACATAACAGTAGTCCAAATAACTTTAGGAGCATCCTTTTACCTAGCCATGGGCAAAAGATCATCATCTCCCTAGCACTTACAAATCAGATTCCCAACAGCATATAGCTCATAGGATTTCCCTAGTATTCTTGAGCATGTCAACAATGAATAATAGTACGCTTAGGTCATATAATTTATAAGTTTCATTCACAAACAATACATACGATACTCTTCTTAAGCATAGCTTAAGAATCTCAATATGATAGACATCACACACTCTTATCATCAACTAACTGAAAATTCTTGTGCAACATAAGAATTCAATCCATGTCTTTCAATTGATGAAGTTGAACATTTGACATTAATTAACATACTCACAATCATCAGGGTAAAACCAACCTTATACAATATAATTTAATCAAGGAATGCTTTTATAAAGACTACTTGATTATACTAACCCAGGAAGTCTAGAACAGGAGTTAACACCTCCATAAAGTACTGAAACTAACTTTCAGCACTTATTCCACTTCACACAGTCCCAAATTATTCCAAAATATAGTCAATCTTCATTAAAAATATCCTTAATGCCAATTGACTCTGCAATTATTCAACTGGCATTAAGTAAAACAAAAGTTTATAAATTAACAATATCACACTACTCTTGAAATCCTGTCATAAATATTCTCTACTTTAAAAATAAAGGTAGGGAACAATTAGATCATAATCATAAAGAATTTCTCACCATTCCTTAATATCACCCTCTATATATTAATAGTAGGTTCCATTCTACTATTTCTTTCTTCCTCTTATGCCTTGTAATAAGGTTCATAATTCAGTTTAGCATAAACTTAGTTACTAGTCTGACCTCTCCTAGTGCTTAGCATAATCCATAGTAGACACATTTGACAAGCACACAATCACCAAAGCATACAAAGCATGCCTGGTCATCCAACCCTTTAGCCATAATTTATAACCAATATTAACGGGTCATAAATACTAGAAAACATCAATAACTAATACTTTGCTTTGACTTGCATCTAGTTTAATTTTAGACTAAACAACCATCACAAAATTCTAGTCGCATAATATTATTCAAAAATAGACTCAATATGTTAATGAGGCCTAAGATACAATAACAGACTTTGAGCAACCAAAGACAATGAGGATTATACAAATGTTAGCTCCCACATGACATGTATTCAACCATCTAGCACCTAACACCCTTGTGTTACTACTTTCCCTTTATCCTTTTTTTTTTTTACTCATCTATAGCTACTAGCTAATGTACTATGGACTATAATAAATATCTACATTTAAGGTTCAACCTTCTTTCTAACCCTCTATCTTTGCATATTAATTCCTACATACAAAAATTCAGCAATGCAAATTCACTACTTGCATCCCAATCCACATTGGCTTACTAATGCCACACAATGCCA